TCTTCATGATTCAGCCCTACTAGATTATATATATAAATTTATCCATTTCTTCAAAATTGTCCAATTTGTGGGCATATAGTTGTTCATAGCAGTTTATAATTCTTAGCATTCCTATGGTATCAGTAGTAGTGTCTCCTCCTTCATTTATGATTTTATCTATTTAAATCCTCTTTCCTTTTTTTCTTGGTTAGTCTAGCTAAAGGTTTGTCAATTTTGTTTCTCTTTTCAAAAAACCAACTCTTAGTTTTGTTGATCTTTTCAGTTGTATATTTAGTCTCTATTTCATTTATTTCTGCTGTAATATTTATGTTTTTCTTTCTTGTGGTAACTTCRGTCTTAATTTGTTCTTTTTTTCCTTTTTACTTGAGGTGTAAAGTTAGGATTTTTATTTGAGATCTTTTTGGATGTTRGCATTTATCAGCTTATCTCTTGGAACATCTTTGCTGCGTCTCAAAAGTTTCAGTACACTGTGTTTCAAGTTCTATTTTTTTCAAGATAGTTTTGATTTTTTTTGAACCATTAGTTTTTCAAGAGTGTTATTTTATTTTCACATATTTATGAATTTTCTCATTTTCTTTCTGTTATTGATTTCTAGTCTTATATCATTGTGCTGAGAAAAGATACTTGATATGATTTTGACCTTAGAAGATTTTAAAAATATTTGTTTTGTGATTTAAGGTGTGATCTCTCCTGTAGGATGTTCTGTGTATATCTGAGAAGAATGTGTATTCTGCTGCTGATGGRTGGAAATTTTCTGTATGTGTTTGTTAGATCCACTTGCTCTATAATGTTGTTTAAGTCTATTTTTTAAAAGGTTGATTTTATGTATGGATGTTSTATTCACTATTGTAAACGAGGTATTGAAATCCTTTACTATTATTACACTGTTGCAGTTACTCACTTTGGATTTGTCAATATTTGTCTGTGTCCATACCACCCTGAATGAGCCTGATCTTGTCAGATTTGTCARTCTTTATTTTATATACTTAAGTGTTCTGATGTAAGTGGTGTACCTATTTATAATTGTTGTGTTTCTCTGTGGAATTAACCCTTTAATCATCATATAATGATCTTGTATTGCTAGAGAMATTTTTTGACTTGCAGTCAATTTTGGCTGATATAAGTTTAGCTGCCCCTGCTTTCTTTTGGTTCCCATTTGAATCAAGTATCTTTTTGATCTTATCATTGGGCTCTCCTACCTGTAGTTTGTGAGATGGCTGGCTGTGTCTGCAACCTAGTGTGAATAAGGAGGGGCRGATGTGTGGAGGTTGGAGGTACTCTAGATAACCTTAGAGGACCAGAACTGGGGGCTGCTCCAGAACTCTTCCTTTTCTCTCCCGTTTCTTCTTCAACCCTCTTTTTTTAGATTTTTTGCTCCTCATTTGTTCAGCAAGTATTGATTGTTCTTCAGAGCTCTGAGGAGAACCTAAGAGAAACACTTTACAGTTTCTGCCCTCAAGGAGCTCAYAGCCTGGACTGTTGTCAAAGAAATGAGAGCAGAACGTGTAGGCTTGACTGATGAGGAGTGTGGATGGAAGGKCAGCTGGGCTGCTGCCCAGGCCCTSCCTGTGAGGCTGTGCCTGGARAGCTGGTCATGCATTCTGTGCCCCCTAAGCCATTTGGGACACAGGAAAGAAACRTTATATTTTCCAGCAAACAAATAAAAAGAGGGCCTTTATATATTCCTTTAAAGCACCTTTTAAGAGTTTTTTTTAATTGATTTTACCATTTTTGGCCCATCTACCATTTGCATTATTCCTGATAATTGAAAAGTTCTTTATCTTTAGCATAGAAATGTAGGTATGTTCGTAATTATCTAAGGCAATTAAACTCATTTTATTATAAGATCATTTAGTTTAAAAGGTTTTATCGCACAGGTGTAAGGCTGATCATTTTCTTTTTTCTTTTTTCGATTCTGGGGATTAAACCCAGGGTCTTGCTCATGYTAAGTACTTGTTCTACCAGTGAGCTACAACCTCAGCCCTGATCATCACTTTTTTTTTTTTTAATAACAAGAATAGAAGATATCCCCTCTTATATGGTGTGGGCTCCTAGCTRGCTGAAGGGATGGGTTTCTGAGTAAGGAATAGTTGTATTCACATGTCCCTAAGCATGTACTTTAGATGGCAGGGATGTTTGTGTGGGGGTTGCCTAGCATGTGTATTAAGGGACCGTCTRCTTCACAGAGGAGAAAGGAGCTGAYGGTGGCAGTGGCCCAGGTGAGAGTGGTGAATATGGTCACGGTATCATTGGAGCCGCAACCAGCTTCCTGGMTCTCCTGAGAACTGTGGGGGATAAGTACTATGGCTGTGGTTTCTTGCTTTCATTTTTGCTCATCCATTGTGGTTAACTACCAGGGCCCAATTTCACCCCTATCCATTGATTTTTCTCCAGAGCCAACAGCTCCTTTAGGTATCCAGTATAGTTTCCTGATTTTACAAATGAACAAGCAATTCTCCCCCTAGGAGAGAGGAGGTACCCTGGAGTAGGAAAAATTTGGATTTAATCTTGACTCTGAATCTTCTTGGCTTTGTGATATGGAGAACATTACTCAACATTGCTAGACTGTTTCTTCATCTGTAAAAACAGAGTAATGATGGTTTCTACTTCCTTGGGCCATTGTGAAAAGTACATTAGATCGTGTCCATAAAGTATTTAGTTACTTCCAGGTACACAGTAGGTACCCAATAAAAGTCAGTTATTTCTGTTGCTAATACAGCTGTCCAGTGACTAACAGTCAGATCTCTTAAAATCCTTTTTACTTCTTAAAAACTTAATCAAAAGCTTATGTTGGAAGATAGGAATATGTCTCAGATTGAGACTGCAGAGTGGATTCCATCTCCACGYTGCTCTACCTCCATAGTGTCTTTACTTTCTTAGTCCATTTTCTGTTGCTGTAACAGCATACACGGGACTAGGTAATTTATAAAGAATAGAGGCTTATTTAGCTTTATGGTTCTGGAGGCCGGGAAATCCAAGAGCATGGTCCTGCCATCTGGTGAGAACCTTCTTGCTGCATCATGACATGGAGGAGGACATCACATGCTAGTCCATGTCTCTCTTCCTCATCTTATAAAAACCACTAATACCATCCTAAAGGTCCTRCCCTTGTGACCTCATCTAACCCTAATTACCTTCCAGAGGCTCCACCTCCAAATATCAGCATATGGATCTGTGGGTCKGTTTCTAACACATGAACTTTTGGGGGAACACAGCCAAACCACAACACCTCCTTTCTTCAACGAAGCATATTTGCAAATCTGTCACCACTTGTTTAACCCATGAAGCATTAAAGGAATGCAGAAAACAAAAAAATAAAAATGAAAGACATCTCCAAGCTGGAACTGTCTTTGCCTTGTTCTGTGTAGCGTGTAGAAAGGAGCCCTGGGTTCAAGGAGGGAAAACCTGGCTCTGACTCTTGGCTTAGTCACACTCTAGCTTAACTTCAGCTTCCGTCTTCAAGCTATAAAGCTGAGAGTGAATTCCTGTTATACCTATTTCCWATGGCCTCTCTCAAATATGAAGTATTGTTAAAATGAGTAAGTAAACTGAAATGGAAAAGCAGGACACAAATGGAAGGAATTAATATAATTTGGTAGCTATTTACTGGATTTTAGACACTCAAATAYCTCAACTCTTAAAAACCTACACTGTGGGGGGAAAAAAACCCTGGCATAAAATTAACTGAAACCTAACTTTAAATCTATTGGTACAAATTATAGATGAAACAATTTTACCAGAATTTGAGTTTCAGGTAATTACGAATAAGAAAGGTTCTATGAGGTAGAAGCCATAAAATAAGGGAATGAAAACCACTTTAGGGTATGAAGAAATGAATATGTCTGTTAGTGTTTAATTTTCAACCCAGTCTTGCCACATTCTTCTTATAGCTTTAACAGTTTTATTGAGGAGTAATTTAATTCCATAATTTTACCATTCGTAAGTGTGCAATTAAATTATTTTCACTAAATGTAAGGAGTTCTGCAACCATCAAMACAATCCAGTTTTAGAACATTCCGTCACCTCATAAGGATACAGAGGGCCTATTTTAAGACAGCACTTTTTGTTACCTCCAGCCTTAGGCAACTCTGATCTTTTTGTGTTTCCTTAAATTTACCTTTTTTGGATAGTTCAGATAAGTGGGATACAATATAGTGTCCTTTGTGTCTGTCTCCTTTCATGTTCAATGTTTTTGAATTTATTCATTACACATTCCATAATCCATGTTGCATCTCTTCCATATTGTGGCCTATTTTGCATTTCATTGGTCCATTCATTGTGGATGAACCTTAGGAATGTTTCCAGTTTGACTCAGAACATTCATGCTCTATGTGGACACATGTGTTCATTTCTGTTGGGTAGATTCCCCAGTAGAATCGTTGAGTGAAAGGGTAAATTTACATTGAATTTTTTTATAATCCGCAGTGGCTGCACCATGTTACATTTGTACCAGCAACGTATGAGAGCTCCAGTTTCTCTACATCTTTATCTTTCCTTCATATTTTATTTTAGAAATTCCATGTCCATTTAAATCATAATTACATCAAAAAGATTCTTTTGTGAGTCAGTGATAGCACTGAAGTCTCGATTAGACTGAGYGCTTCATATTTGGGGTTTAAAAACAGCCTCAGTAATTGGGAAGAATTGATTTACGTTGTTGAACTAATAGTTCAGTTGCTTGGGGAGTAGATGGTAAATAATTAATGACAGTTCACTGCAGGCTTCCTTGTAGAATGTACTTTATCCAACTTGCTACTGTTTTATCAGGGTCATCTAATTATTCAGGAAATAAAAATAACTTTCAGTAGAAGGCAGAGTGTGGTGGTTGTGCGTCTGTTGGGTTGTCTAGACCCTCCAATATTGAGACCCTTGGCTTATTTATCATTTTAATAGATAGGGCATCTAATGCAGATACAGAYGGCTACTCATGTCAACACAGGCTTTTGTGTGTGTTAAATCCCTTGTGGATTGGAATGAAATAATTTCTTGTTTCTTTCCAGATCGTTCACAGAACTCTGGCAGCCATGTTGGGGGCCCTTGCAGCTTTAGCAGCACTGGCTGTGATTGGCGATGTAAGTTGTGACRTTCTGAGTCTCTGACTTACCGATGGAGAGACAATGTCAGACTCAGAGACACTCCAGGATTTGGTGTTATAAATTCTTTTGTATGCTACTTCTACATTTTCCCCCCAAGAACCACGCTAGAGGTTTGAACCAACAAACTTCAGCATTGATGAATATTTTTCATTTGATTTTTTTCATTCACACATCCAGGTAGTTTTGGTCCTCATTTTGGCTAAAGAAAGGCTCATCCTGCTCATGGGTTTACCCGGGGTTGTTTGGTTGTGGGATATTAGAGTTAGCAGTGGTGTTGTCAGCTCTTGAGAACTAGACTAGCAGTGGGAGTAGAGAGTTAGGGTTCTGTCCAGGAGGCCCCTGGAGATGCATGTATGGGGCTGATGGTGTCCTGCCAGGGCTGGAGCATGTCCTATCTGGCAGCCACATTGGGAATACACCTAGGGAAGTAAGAGAGGTGGAGTGCCTACTGGAAATGGCAGTCCAGAGTTGTTTGACAGTAATGCTGAAACCAAATTAGGAACCCACTCAAAGGTGGAAACACAAGACTGGATCTGAAAACAACTCTATGCAATTACATGGATTGTTCTGAAATTGCTAGTAGAGGCCATTCAATCAACCCAAGAATAACAACTAGTTTAAAAAACTCTGTGTGTGTGTTCGTGTGTGTTGCTGAATTAGTAATTTATTATGTTTTTTTAAAAATCTGGAATTTGAATGTAGGCCCACCCTAAAAGCAGTAGTAAAAACTTGAACTTTTTTCTTGACCAGAGTTGGTATAAACAAATGCTAACTCTAAAGATAAAATGTCCCAGAATTCTAAAACCTAGACATAAAAATCCTTCAACGTGTTCCTGCAAACGAACGCTCCAACCTAGAAGAACGAAATTTGGGGGACCACGTGCAAATGGAGGACTCATCAATCCCGCCAAGCATCAACAAGATCGGGTGAAAAAATAATTGCTGAGATTCCAGTAAACTYRGAATTCTGTGGAATCATTGCAAACGCTTTCAAATGAAAGTGTATTTTCCTTGCCTTTGGTTAGGGCTACTTCAACAGGGAACAAAGCCTGGTMCATGGTAGGCACACACTGTGGGAAGCCACTGGGTCACTCTCTTTCCCAACAGCCAGATACTGGCAGTGCCCTTACTTACACTCTATGCTCCCTATCCCTGCGACCCCACGAGAGTGGGAGGGCACATGAGAGTAGGAGACATGATTGTCCATGTTGTCATCATCTGGCTTCATGCCATTACACTGAGGAAGACACATGTGGACTCCAAGAAGTACCTATCACTAAGCTTTGTATTTAAGAATCGATTTAAAAGAAAAAAAGCTTTATTGTGGTTTACTGTTTTTGAGGTGTCAGTTGGTTGGCCCATTTGCTTTTGGGTCTGTGGTAAAGCAGTACGTCATGGCAGGAGCACATAGAAGAGGAGCTATTTACCTCATGGCAGACGAGAAGCAAAGAGAGAGAGGAAAAGACTGGCATCCCCAAATCTCCTTCTAGGACACTCCCCTAATGAATTAAGACCTCCCACCAGGCCCCATATTTGAAAGGTTCCTCCACTACCCAATCGTGCTAGAAGCTGAGATCTAAGCCTTTAATACATGACCCTTAGGGACACATTTATGATCCAAATGATTGCAGTAACTTCAAGGACCAACCCTGCAGTTCAGGCAACAGTTCTTCCTAGARTTTTCAGGGACAGGGTTAAAAATTTTTTAAATTACTTTAATGCACAAGTTTGATGTTACAGATGCACTGGGTCATGAATGTTTTTCAGAAGTGATATAATCCAATTTCAAAGGCAAGTAGATGTTGTGTTTCCAACTTTGGCCCAATGAGTGGATTTGTAGTAAAGGGCAGCACATTTTTAGAGCTTATCCCCAGGAGGGAGACGCACAGGATTAATTGGCAAATTTGTGCTTTGATTGCAGAGACCCAGCCTGACCCACGTGGTGGAGTGGATTGATTTTGAGACCCTGGCCCTGCTGTTTGGCATGGTAATTATAGTCCTCCCAGCAGGACATGGCTCCAAGCCTGCTAAAACCTGGGTCCTTCTTTTTTTGCTGCTAATCCTATCATTATATTAAAGACACCATGTCTCTTGACAATTAGGGCTTGATTGAGAAGTGTTAATGCAGGTCTAGCTAATTTCTCCTGAGGAGGGAGGGAACGATTGGTACTCTGGTTAGTTAGATGGAGAGTTTCAGTCTAAGTCCTATGGAATGATGAAATAACATTTCCATTAGAAAAGTTAGCAAGTTTTTGGAGGTACTACCCTTAAAGAAAAAAAATGGAATGTCTTAAATAAATGAACCAGGGGTTAACATTAAATAATGTTTTGATTATTTGAAAAGTACATTTAATTACATAAGAAAAGGAAGACTTTGTCCCTGAGGAATCATTGGGGCATTTGCTAATTTATCTTATTGCTGAATGGCTATTCTGTGCTATGTGCTGCAAGGAATGACACCAAGTCAACTCCTAGGAAAGAAACTTAAATGCACCAGTAAATTAGTGTGAGACAGGAATCATGACTAATTTAACTAAAATGAGTGGAATTTGGCAAGGATCTGGACAACAGCGAGAATGACTCACTTGCTTGTGAAGGACCCCTAAACAGCCAAGTGATCTGAAGGAGGGTTCATCCCTCTGGCCTAGAGACTTACTCTGTGTAAAATGGTCACCATTTGCCCTAATTTTCCTTGCAAACGTTTTATTCCTCCCCAAACTGGCAGATAAAATAGAGAATTCTGCTATTCTAAGGCTTCAATGTCACCCAAAGTAGCACTGCTATCCTCTGGGGGTAGGGTGCAGGGAGACAGGCCAATGCTCTGAATTGAGGCTCCATAAAGGATGCAGTATCTGTGTTGGACCCTGAGAAKTACCTAGGGTTTGGGCACCCAGACAGAAGAAGGGGGCATACTGGATGATGTCTATAAGTGTAAAAAAATAAAATGAATGACATATTTCTCTTCTTATGAAATAGAAAATCTTCCAGTGAGTTCTAACTGATTAAATTCAGAATATTTTTTTATTAGCRTCTTGATGGTTGTTTTCACCAACTTTTCATTGTCAATCGAAAGAAACATGTGAGGGCTGGGGCTGTGGCTCAGCGGTAGAGCGCTCGCCTTGCATGTATGAGGCCCTGGGTTCCATCCTCAGCACCACATAAAAATAAATAAATAAATAAAATAAAGGTATCGTGTCCAACTATAACTAAAAAATAAATATTAAAAAAGGAAACATATGAGTGTACATTCTGGATTGATCCAGAGCTGGGAAGATAATCATTCTAATACAACTGTTCCTACTTGAATGTGTAGATCAAGTTGGTGACAAAAATCAGTTTACTTACTTTAGAACCCAAAATTTAGTCCAGTTTTAAAATCTTAAAATGTCTAAGTGTTGCTTTTTTTTATCAGTTTTTTTTTATTTATACATGACAGTAGAATGCATTACAATTCTTATTACACATATAGAGCATAATTTTTTCACATCTCTGGCTATATACAAAATATATTCACACCAATTCGTGTCTTCATCCATGTACTTTGGATAATAATGTCCATCACATTCCACCATTATTTCTAACCCCATGCCCCCTCCCTTCCCCTCCCACCYCTCTGCCCTATCTAGAGTTHGTCTATTCCTCCCAYGCTCCCCCTCCCTACCCCACTATGAATCAGCCTCCTTATATCAGAGAAAACATTCAGCATTTGTTTTTTGGGGATTGGCTAACCTCACTTAGCATTATCTTCTCTAACTCCATCCAAGTGTTGCTTTTGTGGATAATGAGGTACGGAAGGTCACCTGCTGCACCCTGTCCTTCTCTGCTTCTAGCTTTAGGACTGAGCAGTTCCCCTCATCTCTCTGATCCCGAGTTTCCTGGCCTATAAAACAGAGATCAGTAATAATGCCTGATGTTTGTTTGAGGATTGGAGGGGATGGTGATTGATCTTCAGGACGAGTCCTGGACTAAATATACATATAAAACCACTAGTAAGTGACTCCACTCAAGGGGTTTGTAAGTGGGAAAACTAAGAAATCTTTCAGCAAGATAGCAAGGAGATTGATTATGTGGCAACTTTCAGGGGCTAGATCTCAAATTCATAATGGCCATCTGACTTTGTTTCAATATTGTGTTTTCTCTTTTTCCCATAGATGATCTTAGTAGCCATATTTTCAGAAACTGGATTTTTTGATTTTTGTGCTGTAAAGGTAGGTGTGATCTTACATTTAACAGATAAGTACTAACTAACTAACATATTTATTGTTTGGACATTGTACATTTAGTACATTAAAGTATTATTTAAAACAAATATTTAAAAATCTTATTCTCCTTTTCAAAATTGCTTCTGCAAGGCTGGATATAGTTGCTGACTCTGAGCAATGCTTTCAGCTTCTCCATAAATAAATGAAGGAGATGAAGGAAAAGGGTACTCACGTTGAATGTTTGTATAACATTATTTAAATTGGCTGGTGAAAGCTACACATCAAAAATTATTTTGCATATTAGAGTCTCTAAATATTCCAAGCCATCAGCTTCTGATTGCTTTGCTTTTTGGTGAAATAATTTCAATGATTACTTTCTAAATATTGAACGTATACACATTCACTATTTTTAAATTAGGGAAAAACATGTTTGTCTTTTAAAAATCCCTTAAGGATCTTATTTATTTACTTATGTTTTGGTGCAGAGGATTGAATCCAGGGCCTCACACATGCTAAACATTACCACTACCACTTACTCCACCCCCAACCCCTTAAAGGTCTTGTTTAAAAAAACATATTATTGATGTTATTTTTTGATTGGCAAATCATAACTGTACATATTTTGGGGTACAATGTGATTTTGTGATGAATGGATACACAAAGTGGCAGGATAAAATCAAGCTAGTTAACACATCCATCACTTCATTTATCTTTTTTATGGTGAGACATTTGAAATCTACTCTCTTAGTTATTTTGAAATGTATACTACACTATTATTAATTAATTATTGGCTGATTAACTATAGTCAATCTGCCTGTGTAGCAGATCTCAAAATGTATTCCTCTGTCTTCAACTTTGTACCCTTTGATCAACATCTCCCCAACCCCCTCTCCCAGCCCTTCCATCTCTGGTAACTGTCATTCTACTGTCTACTTCTATATCAATTTTATTAGATTCCATATTTGAGATCATGTGGTCTTCATCTTTCTGTGCCTGGCTTGTTTCACTTAATGTAATATCCTTCAGTTCCATCCATGTTGTTGAAAATTACAGGCTTTTTCCCTTTTTCATGTATTAAGTAGTATTCCATAATGTATATATCGCATTGTCTTTATCCATTCATCTGTTGCTGGACACTTAGATTAATCCATATCTTGGCTGTTGTTAATAACTCTTCAGTAAACATACAGATATACATTCCTTTGGATATATGTCCAGTAGTGGGATAACTGGATCATACAGTTGATAGATATTAGTTTTTTGAGGACCCTCCACCCTGTTCTCTATAATGGCTGTACTGATTTACATCTCTACCAACAGTGTATGACTTTCCTTTTCTTTACATTTTCTCCGACATTTGTGATTTCTCGTTGTAACCTTCATTTGCATTTTTAGCTGGAACTTTGGAGAGTTTCACCAGCAGGTTCTGGCATGCAGGATTTGTACTAACTCTAGCATGCATGGTTGGCAAAAGATCTTGCAGGGCCCTACTAATGCAAAGGCTAGTGCTGTCTTGATGTTGCTTTTGTAACTGAAAAACTCTTATTAAAATAATTTATTCAACAAAACACTTTGAAAATTCTGAATAAAAGAACCATGCAGTGATTTTTGTGGTCTTTGTGTACCATGTTGTGTACACCAGGCAGATATCTGGCCTCTTCCTTCTAATACCTTGATAATAAAAGTATTCCTTATGTCTCCAAAGATCAGCAGCCGCTAGGGTCACATGGATCTCAAATGTAGCTGTTCAGGATATCTAATCAAAATTATAGATAACATGAAAGGGATTGAATGTTGACATTTTGTAACAAATTAACCATCATAAGGGCACAGTGAAGAGAGAGAATCAAAAAAGAGAGAATGTAGGGCTTTGTGGATTTATATTGTCCAAGTACTTTAATGGCCACTACCATGCGATCTTAACAGATTTAGGATTCTACAGTATAAGTTCTAACCCACCATGCATGGATTATTTGGGTCCCTATTCCTTGGAWTCACTTATGAAAAGTCGAATCTATTCTACAAATGCACTGATTCTATCTTATTCCTTYCAACATGTGTGTGCACCCAGGCATACCGACTATCCCGAGGAAGGGTATGGACCATGATCATCATGCTGTGTCTCATTGCTGCCATCCTTTCTGCCTTCTTAGACAATGTCACCACGATGCTCCTCTTTACTCCTGTGACCATAAGGTATGMAGAGCACTTTTGCTGTGGGGACCATAGCCAGGCTCAGGGCAGGTATGTTCTGGCTGTACCACCTGACCCAAGGCTCCCTTCTCACATCTACAAAAAGGCAGGGGCCAGTGCCCACCCTTTCACTGAAGCACAACTCACTGCATTCCAGACCAGCCAGCGCTGGCTTTGTGTGACTTAAATGCACTTGACAAGCTGTGGTATTCCCATAGCTGGGTGACAGCAATGTGGTGGGGAGTTGGAAGATGTGGGCATTGCTTTCCAGGAGACTGGGCTGTTATTGAGGACCCCAGACAGTTCTTGTCCATGCACTCCCGTTATCATCTTCCACCTGGCTGGCAGCAGTTCACAATTGTGCTGGTATGAAAGCTCCTGTCCAGGGCTCCAAGGGACACGTGCCTTGGGGAAGATGGAACAGTCATTGTCTGGTTCCTGGTCTGAGGGCTTGGAAGGTAGCAGGACAGACTGGGTTCACCTGAGTTAGGACTTGGCCTAATGGGACTTTGCAGGCAATTTCAGGAAAGAGACATTCAGTCTCATTCAATTCCAACTCTTAATCYCATCTACTTCAATAATTTGACATATATTGAGTGCCACAATATGTTGCCCAGAATCTTCTGCAGCAAGAGGTTCAGTCCTGGCCCCTTTGTGAACCCTTTCCCAAAGTATAGACCTTTTTTTGTATCTACCCTGTATATTCTTTGTTTTAAAGATGGTTCCCCAGCATTTGAACCCCAGGCTCCCAAACCTGGGTCCTCCCTATCTTGGACCCATCATGTACTGGTACTTGGCTGATTCTGGGGATACAGAAAGTGATAGGTAACCCTCAAGGGTCCAGAGTGAGGGGGAAGCACTAACGTTTGTCCTGATTAGTGATTGGGCATCTTGAATAAGTCACTTCCGCTGCATTGATCTGAGTTACACCATCAAAGGGATTAACCTGAACTAGCAGGATGAAAATTCTGTGAGACAATGGACCTGTTTGGACACCAAGCATGAGACAGAGAAAGTTCAGTCACTAGCCATGGTCTACTTCTAAGGCTCAGGATTAATTATGGGGGATGCTTTTGGCATTTGAAGAGTGATGCCTCTTAGAGGAGGAGTGAATTGGGGTCTTCAATGGGGCCTGCAGTATTCTATCACTTACCTCACTGTGGAGATGTGGGTTTGTACCCAGGCTCCTGCAAGTTGGCCACGTTGTGAGAGCCAAGTGCAGATGGGGACTTGGAGTGAGATAGGCTGAATTCTCAGCCTTCCTCTGCAGGATGGGGCAAAGCACCTTTGGGTTGAGGGTAAATGAGAGATGGAGTGAACATATTTGAGGGTGCGGTGAATTTTAATAGACATCACTGATAATACTGAACTGTGCCCCTTAGACTCTTTAGGGCCCTAAACTGCCCTCCTCCAATCAGCATGAATCTGCTGCCCATCTCAGATYGCTGACTATAGCATTTCCCAGATGTGTCAGATTCTAGTACCACTGCACTCTCGGATAGCAGCCTGGGAAAAGTGGGATTCAGGCCTGAGGTCCATGGGGCACCCTTTTCCAAGCATCCTCACACAGCCTGGAGAGCCCAGGGGCTCGTTCAGCCTTTCTGGAAATTGTTTTGATCTTTGTTGCTCAGAAATTAGCTTTGTAATTTTTTTTTTTAAATCAGGGACTTCATTTTCTAGTTTGAAACCCATGTCTTTCAAGCTGTGTTTCACATATTGTTGGTCTTAAGATTCATTATTTATATTACAACGTTCTTCATATTTTAGAGGAGTTGATTGCTTTCTTCTGCCTTTGTCTGGACTGAGAAGTGCTCAGTCCCTAGAGTTCAACAGCGAGGTCCATTTAGATCAGGTGCCATCTCTGTGCTCTATCTACGAATTATTTTCTTGTTAGAAGGAGATTCTGGTAGCTTCCTCCACTGAGTGCAGCTGCTGACTTGGGTCTGATGCCCATATGTAAAGTCACTCTGGATCCTGGTAGCCAGGATCACTCCTTCTTCAGCTTCTATGCAGCCTCCAGGCCAGTCRGCCCTCACATCAGTGGAGGGGAAGACTGTGTGGCTGGCTATGCTCTGAGCTGAGGGCAGGAGGTGGTGGGAAAACCTTCAAGTGCAGCAGCACCTGCCTCAAGGAGTGAGATCCAGAGCCCAGTTACTACATGGCAGAGGGAAAAGAGGATGAACAGGTGTGGAGGATGCTGTGATGTGCTCTCTGTACTTTTTTTTTTTTGAGCAATGTTTCTCATCTCTATGCACAGCACTCACTTGAGGAGTTCTAGAATGCTGCTATGCAGGCCCACTCCCACATATTGGTCTGCTGCAGACCAGGCTGTAAAACTTTCAAGGATTATTTATTTGTTATTTATTTATTTTGGCACTGGGGATTGAACCAGGGGCATTAAACTACGGAGCCACATCCCCAGCCCTATTTTGTATTTTATTTAGAGACAGGGTCTCACTGAGTTGCTTAGAGCCTCACTAAGTTGCTGAGACTGGCTTTGAACTCGAGATCCTTCTGTCTCAGCCTCCTGAGTGGTTGGAATTATAGGCATACCTCACCACACCCAGCAACTTTCAAGGATTCTAAGACAATCTAGTGTAGACATGGTGGAGAACTTTCTTCTCTAAGAAAGAAGTCAGTAGTCAGTAGTTAAAGGGAAGGGCTGAGAGGAAACCTTGAGGTCTTAGCATCTGAGAAGGGGAGGCAGGTACAGGACTAGGTGAGCAGGCTTAGCGTGAGCACTGGTGATTTCTGCATTGACCCCTGCCCCTGACTCAGAGGGTTTTGGTGGCCAGTGCCCATCTGCCTGTGCCAGGCCCTGCCTTTCACTGGGAGCTTGCACACAGGGGACTGTGCTCCATCTAGACTTATGAGGGTGGAGAAGGGTTACATCATGACACTGATGGTTCAGAGGATGCTGGGTTAATTCAGAAGAAATGTCATTTTCAGAGTCACTGCATCCCAAGGGTGTTATTGTAGTTGTCTCCCCCATTCCAACACTGCCCTCTCATAAATGTGTGTGCTTTCTAGGTTTAAGCCAGTACTTTAAATATATATGGGCTGCACATGGGTCCTTTATGATGTAAATAGTGGGACTAATTTCATTTTCCTCCATTTATGATAGATTATGTGAGGTGCTCAACCTTGATCCAAGGCAAGTCCTGATTGCAGAGGTGATCTTCACAAACATTGGAGGAGCTGCCACTGCCATCGGGGACCCACCAAATGTCATTATTGTTTCCAACCAAGAATTGAGGAAGATGGTATGTACCAGTATATTAGGGTTACTTTCAATAAATGCAGAACTAAACTCACTTAGCCCTCTGCCCAGTGTTTTAGAAACCTTTATTAATCTTTATTAGAAATCAAGATCCTCTGTATTACCTCTTTATAGTAAATGCTTTTAGATGTCTTGTGGGTGGGACGTAAGGAGACAGGGATGAATTGCCTTCATTCTCGATCTCCTAAGGTTTTGAAGAAATGATTGGATAACATAGTCATAATATGTTGTATTAATTACATCAATAGGAATGGAGGTTTAACTAGTATTTAGAACAAAATTGCCTGTCATCTTTTACAGGAGATATGTGATTTCCTTCTCAACTGAGGTAGATATATTTATTGAAGAACTTAAACTTTTTTAAGGGTCAGAATGTGAAGGCCTTAGAAGTTCTTTGAAAACCCCTATAGATATTTTTTTCCACATTTTTAATTGGTGTATTATAGTTGTACTAAATAGTTGGATTTGTCATTACATATTCATACATGCACACAATGTAAGAATATAATTTGGCCAATATCATTATATTTCCCCTTCCCCTCCTCTCCTCCCACCCCATGACCCCTTTCCCCTACTCTGTTGATCTCTATGATTTTCATGAGATCCTCCCCACTTTTATTGTCCTTTTCCTCTGTAGCTTCCACATRTGAGAGAAGACATATGACTCCTGACCTTCTAAGTTCTACTTATTTTACTTAACATAATGTTTTCAAGTTCCATCCATTTTCCTGAAAGTGACATAAATAAAAATTATAGCTAAATACAATTCTCTTTATAGCTAAATACAACTCTAATGTGTATGTATACCACATTACCTACATCTATTCATCTGTTGATGGACACCAGTTCCATAGTTGGGCTATTGTGAATTGTGTTGCTATAAATGTGGGTATGTATGTATAGTATKATGGCTTTAATTCTTAAGGATAAATACCAAAGAGTGGTATAGCTGGGTCATATGGTGTTCCATGCCTAGTCTTTATATATATATATATATATATATATATATATATATACATACACACACACATATATTCAGCTGTACATATATATATATATATATATATATATATTTCTGACCTTCAGTTTTTATTTAAATATAGTAAACTTTTAATAGAATAAACAAAAAATCCTCTACACAGCAAATATTTTACATAAATGTAACATGCATGCCTATTTCACAATTAAGCAAAATGGACTTTTAGGCACAAGATTTAAAAAATCATGAAAGAATGAGACATGAATGCAAGACAGAAATAACAGAGGCAACAGAAATATACATTACTTAACACCTCAGTTGGTCTTATCTTCCAACCTACTAATTAAGGCCTGAGTTTCAGGAATCCTATGTTCTTAACTGGAAATATCTAGTTTGGTTGTACCTAACATATATCCCCCTAACCAAATAATTATCTTTCAAAATAATCTAATAAATATATCATTCACACACATATGTACATACACACACACACACACACACACACACACATTCTGCTGAACCAACCTGTCAAATAGGGAAGTAAGAATTTTGGAATTTTCACATAGAAAAAATAATTCTGCTACAGAAATGCAACAATGAATGGCATTATTAGAAGTCTCTAGTTCATTTGTATTACTTTTCCCTAAATCACCTTTTTACTAAGGCCTGCTGCCATGGCTCCTCAGACACTCCAGACTTAATCTTTTCATCCTGCCTAAATGACCCACAGTAGAGATGCTTTATAGAGAAAAGGAGACTTAACAATTCAGTTATAGACTTCAGCACGGGTATCGTAAGTCAGCTTAGTCCAAATGCCTGGAACAATTTCTTTATGTCAGTTCTCTTGGGTTTTACTGGTTAGTTTTCTCTGTTTCTTCCCCTACCAGCCTGTAAGCACCTGAACAGCCTGTGATGACAGTCCCTGATTTTAGGGAGATCACACCAATCAGAGTTCAAGCAGGAGAAAGGTCTGTTTGAACATACAGGGCACTTCACATGGGGTGAGGCAAGCAGAGGAATGACTGGCAAGAAGATAGCTGTGAGAAGTCATCTGTGAGAATGTGTTCTCAAACGAGAAAAGATTCCTTATTCTGGCGGTTAAAGTTGGGGGTGAGGGTGGTGCAGAAGCACTGAAGGCTTTGCACAGGGAATAAAACCCAGAGCCATGCTAGAGAATCACTACACAGTGCTGGGTGGGACAGAGGACGGAGGAGAGAGCAGGAAGCTCAGAAAGCTTCACTCACCAAGCCCAGTGCCACATGCAAGTATTTCCCATAGAGACAAGTGTCAATCCAACATGCCCCAAACCACACAGTTCTGTCTACATAAATCAAGGCTTTTGGAGAAAAAGTAGTGGAGAGGGGACTTAAATGGATATTTTTAGTTCAAGTTCTTAGAGCCTATCCCAGTTTGAACAAGTTAAGAGCAGTGAAGCCATTCTCATATCCAGTAACAATTCAAGTCTTCCAATCATGACCATCACCTTTCCTGAACTGTCATCACCAAGTAATTATAAAGCAATCATCATTTCACGACAGCTAAGTTCCTACCTGCCACTCAATCCACAGAGCCCTCATGAAAGGCTGAGACCCCACCACAAGACACTAGGCACATGTATTGCCTCTACTTGGGCAGAGTGGTGTGGGCATGCTGCTGGGTAACAGCACCTTGTCCCACCTTCAGCCCACTGGAGTCCTGGTGTGGATAAAACAGTTGACGTATAAGGTACAACTCTGACCAAAGCCCCCATCAGGGCCATCCTTTCTTCTCTAGGTCCAGACTGCATCCGTCCACTAGCAAGGGAGGGAGAGGTCATCTGAGTAGAGGAACTCAAGGAAGGAAAACCATTGTCTTGATGCTCACTGACTCAAAACAGATAGAAACTTCTTAGGACACAGTCTTTCAAACTACTAGTCTTTTGATCSTATAATTACTAATAAATATTTTCTTTGAACACTAAAATAAAAACCATTTATTTTAAAGAGAATAGGTATAACTTTAATATCTTAAAGAGTTAAAATTAAAACTTTATCATTGATTTTCACTTATTATTTTTTCATCATTAGAATTTTCTGGATTTTCCTTCTTTGAGGTATCAGTAAAATGCTTCCACATTTGGTATGATTTACTGTAGATGATGTTGTGTGTATGTATTCCTGTGAAGTGCATCAGTATGTGTGTGTGTGTGTGTGTGTGTGTGTGTGTGCCATCTTCCTTAAATGTATTTAAACTGCTAAGAATTCATGGCTCTAAGGTATTGATGGCCACATTGAAGACCCCCCATGTTATAGAGATTCTGGGTATAACTTGGATGCTGTGGTGAAAGTCTGTAATCCTGGTTGCCCTGGGGAGCTTCCTGGAAGCACACCACCAGTCCTGAGTGTGAACTGAGTTGTCATGTGAACATGAACATATCATCTTGGAATATATCAGAAGGTAACAGAGCCTTGTCATCTATTCTAGGGACAACTATCAGCCAGGATGTGCCTGGGAATACACATGGGAAAGAACTATCTTCAGAAAGAGTATTTGTTTATTTTTTATTCTACAATAATATGTTTTTTTGTACAAAATAGAAACGCAAACACACATGTACTCATGCATACACAAATAAAAGCTGTCATAATTCTGCCACTCAGAGACAAATTATCTTAGTATTTTGATGCAATTAATCTTCTAGAATACTTGCATGTGCATGTTTTGAATAAATAACATAGCTTCTGCTCTAGCCAAGATGGAGTAATAGGGACTGGATTTCCTTTCTTGCCTGGGACAACCAACCAACCAGCCAAACCAACCAAACAAACAAATGAACAAAATTCCAAACCAAAACCAAACAGCATACCASGAGCAATAGTAATGAAGACACTGAACACTGGACCAAAAGTGGACAGCAATCCCCATGATATGGGAAATGAGATTAACTCTATGATTCCTCTGGCTCACTGCCTGAGAATTTTCAGGGTGTGTTGCGGAGAGGGAGGAACCACATGGAGCTCACTCAGCTCCCTGAGTTAATAAGATGGAACTGACAGTCTGGGGAGTCCAAGGCAGCTGGAATTTGCAAGACAAAGGACCAGAGAGGTCAGAGCTGCTTAGAGAGAGAACCACAGAGATCTTCAGAGTGTCTCCCTTGAGAATGCAGTAGTGTTCATTCCAGTCCATGTATGTGAGGAAACCACCTATCGTCAGGGGAAGCACAACCCAGAAGGATTAGAGGTAAGAGTCCTCAACATGACGACATGACAGGGACAGGAATAGTCTCTATTCCTGCCAGGCAGGCWGGAACCTTGAAATTCATAGGGCACATTGTAGGCTACTCAGTAGGGTCTTGCCTCTGGAATTACTCCTTGTGGGGAGTGAAGATGGCTGGATATGGCTCTGATTCCACCTAATAAATCTTAAAATCAAGACCTGAAAGAATCAAGCTTTCTATATAGTTTAACAGACTCCAGAACAGACCTCAAAGATATTTGAAGGATAAAAAAACATTTAACAGTGTATAGAGCAAAATCACAATATGTGGCATATGATCAAGGATTACCAGGCATGTAAAGACGCAAGAAAATATGACGTATGAGAAGAAGAATGTGAACCGTTGAAGTCAACCTTGAGTAGACACAGGTATGAGAATGTGTAAAAAGGACATTAAAACAACTAAAAATGATGATACATGCATTACAGATGTCCATCAAGTGGAAACATAAAAGACATGTTTTAAAAAGCCAAAATCAAGCTTCTAGAGAGAAAACTTAAAATATCTGTGATAGAAATATACTTGTTGGGATTAATGGCAGCATAGCAGAGGAAAAGATTAGTGAACTTGAAGACACAGATCCAAAATGAAAAAGACTGTAAAGATAGTAATGAAAAAATGAAAAGTGTTCTTGGAAAACTTTAAGTACCTAACACATATACAGTTCTAATCTTTAAAGGATGGGGAAAACAAAAGAGGGAGAGGGAGAGGGAGAGGGAAAATGAGAGGAAGAGAGACAGGGAGAAAG